GATGGTTCTCAAAGGAAGAAATACAAACGGCCAATAAACAGTCTTAACTACCACAGAAACAAATTAAAATGCTTTCAGGAGACTAGAGAGGTGAATAAAATGTCTGCCTTAAAAGTATGAAGACATGAATTAGAGATTGGGCCTGGTAGTGGTGGCGCACGCCTTTAATCCCAGCACTCGGAAGGCAGAGGCAGGCAGATCTCTGTGAGTTCAAGGCCAGCCTGGTCTACAGAGACAGGCAACAAAACTACAGATAAACTGTCTCAAAAAACAAAAAACAAACAAACAAAAATTAGAGTTTGGGTTTGGGGTGGTAAACAGGCAGACCCTAGAGCTCATTGGTCAACTAACCCTAGCCAAATTAAGGTGCTACAAGTTAATGAGAGACTTTGTCTCAAAATATAAAGTGTACAGTAGTAGGAAAAATACTTGATAAGGACTACTGGCTTCAAGATTCTGGCTCACCCCAAGCAGAATGGCTAGGATCAAGAAAACAAAGGACAGCCAGGCAGTGGGGGTGAATGCCTTTAATCCCAATGCTCAGAAGGCAGCAGTTCGAGGTCACCATAGTCTACAATGTGAATCCTAGGACGCCAGACCTGTTACTCAGAGGAACCCTGTCTTGGGGACAAGGGGGGGGGGGGGGACAAAGGAAAGGAAAAAAGAAAGGAAAGGATAGGAAAAAGGGAAAGGAGGGGAGGGGAAGGGAGGGGCAGCTATACCACACTTAGGCATACACCAGAAGGACTTTAACTCAACATAACACAGAGATATTTGTACATCCAGATTTATTGTTTCACTATTAGGAATACCTAAGAAACAGAACCAGCAAAATATCCAACAGATTAAAGAAATGTGGTACATTTACAGAGAGGAATTTTTTTCGTCCATAAAGTATAAAATGACCACTATATTTAGTGAACCAGGCCAGACTCAGAATGAAAAAGACTACTTATTTTCTCTCATCATCAGACTCTAAGTGTTAAGTATGTATGTGCGTATAAGAGACAGAGACCAAGTGAGCATGTGAGAGAGATCTTAGGCAGGGAGAGGGTGAGAACAGAGGGTAAAGGAACACATGGTATGTACACTGATGGGAAGACTGAGAGGAGAAAAGGAGAATGCAACATGGGGAGAGTGGTGTCAAGGCCAGTTAGAGAGGAGTAATAAACACAAAGACAAAGAGACACAGACAGACAGACAGACAGACACACACACACACACACACACACACAAATGCCATAATAAAGCCCATTACTTTATATGCTAACTTTAAGGTCCAATCACCATGACAAAGATCATATTTTGGGGGGAAGGGGGTTAGGATTTCACATTACCAAAAAGACATTAATAGGGGAGGGAGGACTGACTAAGCAGATGGCTGAAATCAAAAGACATCAATTCTAAATACTTCAAGAGGAAATTTTAATATCTAAATTCTCAATGACTTGTGAAAAAAGAACAGAACTCTGCTACTATAGAACTTATAATGGAATAAACAGATGCACACATCTGTCACTCAGGTTGGAAATGCAGCCAAGCTTCCCAGCATACCTCACTCTCCATCACTCTCCAAACTCACCTACCCTAACCCAGGCTTCCTAAAAAAGCTTTAATAACCACAAAATTATTAACGTGACTCAATAAAGTCCTGTGTGATCTGGCTCCTCTCTTGTCCCTAACCATTTCTATTCTCCCTCTGCTCTTTCAATTTCATTCATTTCCTCCAAACAATTTTCCCCCAACTCATTTTTAGGACATTCAATACAGTCTGTTCTCCAAAACCTAGAAAGCTGCTCTTCATCCAAGCTGAGATCTAATGTTACCATTTCAAAGAAGCCTTTCTTGACATCTACCTAATGTATTTCCAAAGCACTTTGGACTTCTTTACCACACACAGTATTATAATTACTTGTTCAGCATCTGTAATGAAAACAGCTATTTCATACCTTGCCACATACTATTTCCCACTCTGATTAGTACAGAGTAAATACTCAAAAATTTGCTAATACATTCAAAATTCAGGTTTGTTAAAAAAAAAAAAAAAAAGTGTCGCCGGGCGGTGGTGGCACAAGCCCTTAATCCCAACACTCAGGAGGCAGAGGCAGGTGGATCTCTGTGAGTTCGAGGCCAGCTTGGGCTACAGAGAGAGTTCCAGGACAGGCTCCAAAGCTACACAGAGAAACCCTGTCTCGAAAAACCAAAAAAAAAAAAAAAAAAAAAAAAAAGTGTCATGAATAGTTAAAAACTATATAATGTTCCTTCATATTAATACTTTCTCAAACAGTATGTATTTTATAATTACACGTCAACACTAAGCAAAAAAAACTCTTTACATAAAAAAACAAAATACACAACAAACAGACATTTGCCCAGCAGTGGTGGTGCATGGCTTTGATCCCAGCACTCAGGAGAAAGAGGCAGGCGGATCTCTCTGAGTTCATGGCCAGCCTGATCTACAAAGCAAGTTACAGGTCAGCCAGAGCTATTCTATTACACAGATAAACCTTGTCTAAAAAAAAAAAAAGAAAAGAAAAGAAAGAAACCAACATTAGAAACCACGATGGTAAATAATTAAGCTTTCATAGATCATCACCTAGAATAGAGAAAACATGAAAATTAAAAGAACAAGAATACGAGCTAAATTACTGTACAATAATGTACATTAGAAAGGGCCACTGTGTAGACTCTACTAGCAGAAACTGTTTATTGTAATCCTGGAAAATAAGAGACATCTGAGTAGTTGCTACAATAAGCATGCTGTTGTTTTAATTTAAAAAAATCAGACGCATACACACTAAGTATATAAGTTGTAGGTTAGTGAAAAACCACGAGATGCAATAAAGTTGATCTGAAATGTGCTAATTACAAACTGGGCAGTATTCTAAGATTTTCTTTATATATATTCACTATTTTTCCCTCTTCAAAGATGGAAACACGCAATGAGTTAAGCAACTTATCTAACACTACACAACTTGTAGGCGAGTGGCAGTGGCACAGTTCAAGGCTAGTCCTCAGGCTCACCTGCTATACATCTTCCTCTCCCATCCACTGAAAGCAAAGGTCTTTTTTGTTTATTTGGAGGTGGAGGGTACTGAAGATTTCATCTATGGCTCTGCACACCGCATATGTCACCACTAGGCTATCCCCTCCAGCTCTCTGAAATAGAACTTCTCTCTATCCCGTTCCAGTCAACTAAACTGCTAAGACCAACAGCTGGTCACCTTATAACCCCTACTCCAGCCTCCTCCATCATCCATCCAGCTGTTAAAACTAACTTTGGGCCATCATACTTGATTTTTCTTTCCCTATCTTCCACACCTGCTCTATCAGCAAGTTTTATCAGATCTATTTGTGAAGTACATTTGGTTCTGTCTCCACTATCATCCAATACAGTCTCTTTCTACAATACCTTCGAAATAGCCTCCCTTCATTTCACTCTTCCTCCCCTTCCGTCTCCACAAAACAGGCATATTTATAGTCCAGTCAGTCCTGGTCTGCTTTAAATTACCTTTCTAGTATATGTTAAATAAAATCTCTTTTTTTTGTTTTGTTTTGGTTTTGGTTTTTCGAGACAGGGTTTCTCTGTGTAGCTTTGCGCCTTTCCTGGAACTCGCTTTGGAGACCAGGCTGGCCTCGAACTCACAGAGATCCGCCTGCCTCTGCCTCCCGAGTGCTGGGATTAAAGGCATACGCCACAACCACCCGGCGTCAAATAAAATCTTAATTCCTCACCGTGACCTAAAAGCTCCCATACGATTTGGGCCCTGCCTACTTGTGACTTCATTGTCTTTCCTCTCTTCTCTACACAAATCAAGGATCATGTCTTCTACCAGGCCTTTCCATCTACTCTTCATTCTGCAAACACTTCTTTCCTCAGACTATCACCCCGAACGGTCCTTCTCCTCTTTAATTTTGTTAAATATTACCTGCTCAGACAGCTTCCAACAAGTGCTCCAGCAGCCCCCATCCTAACCACGTTTACACGATCTTCTACTCTATTTCAATGGCCATAACTGGTCATGGCTGAAATAGATTCTTATTGCATCTTGTTAACCTGGGAATTTTAAAGTTCTAGTCCCAAAGCCTCCCTCAGCACACTGTAAAATCTTAATACATGTATTAAATAGGTGAATTATCTGCCGCTGCATCTTGTTATTGTAAATCAACCATACCGAAAAGAAATTTACCTATGATGTTTTGCATTGAATAAATTCATAAAAAAATTCCTAAAAATTTTCAGCCTAAGACATTTCAACGGTTGCACGAACTACTGAATTCCTCCTTAAACTGCTAAATATCCCATATATAGAGAAACTTGATTTTTTTTTCCCCCTTCTCCAAGTGAGTAGGGTGTGAGTGCAGAAAGGGGGTTTTACTGGGCACATTGGCACCTGTTACATCTTCAATCAGTTAAGAGAGGTGCGTATGAACCAGACACCACATGGAAGACGTGGCCTTTCTTTAAGGGACTGTAAGTGAAACCTGAAGTTTAAACCCGAACTGCCCTAATCCCTAATAAAAGTCATTCATCTCGTTTAAAGAAACAGTGTAAAATAACCTATGGCCAGGATGATGATATTGCGAGCATTCATGGAAAGCAAAGAAACCCATTTGAAGGCCCTCAGCAAACACAGGTGTATGGGGAAGTTCGGTATCACCCTACGTGTAACGGGAAAACAAAAGCAGTAGACACCGGTTCAAAGATCAGCTCAACGATAAAAAAAAAAAAAAAAAAAAAAATGAAGCACAGCTCCAGCTTCTGCTATCTCGATTCTGGACGCGAAGGTGGAGGGAAGGGGATGGAAACAGAGCCCCGGGACCCCTGCTCTTCGCTCTGGCCTCCGCCGCGGGCACTTCGAGGAAAACCCGCACCGACCTGTGCGCCCGCCGCCGGTCCGTGCTCGTCCCCGTCCCCCCACCATCACCGCCACCGCCGCCGCCGCCGCCGCCGCCGCCAGCGGCATCCCCTGCAAGGACAGCTCCCCGGGGGTACTCACATGGGCTCGAGGGTCTTGCTGAGCCAGGACTTGAGTGCCTCGAAGTTTTCAATGATCATCTTAGAGACCATGCACCGCGGCCCCGAGGAGGCCGGTCACACGCCTGCTGCGCTCGCCCAGGTCGCGGTCGCAGCCGCCGCC